CTATCATCCAATATGCCTGCTTTTCGCCTCCTTAATCCTTCCTCTTTCCTCCCCGCTGCTCCGTCCTCCATTTTAACCTTTTGATTTTCACCTCTCCATTTCTAGTCTATTTCCTGCCCTCTTCTCATTAATTCATCCCCCACTACTTCTTTTCCTTCTACCTCATTTTCCTTCAATTTTTTTTTGCACAGCTTACCGTGGAGGAACTGTGTCGACAAAGCCGTCCCTTACAACAAAAGTACATCTTCCTTTTGGAGAATAAAGCACTTTTCTTTCCACCTGATTGCTTAATAGTGCTAGAAGAAATATAAGTTTTTCTAGAAACTTTGAAGTGAACTATTCGACCCGTTTTTTCTCATCTCATAGCAAGCGGTCACTGCACTAGTTACGGAAGCGAACAAGTTTCAAGTATCATGAAAGGCTCCGGCTGTTTTAAAATAGCGCAAAACCCGCCTTCATTGCCCATAATTTAAAAGATGGTTTTTAATATATATGAACTGCATACAAATAAACTACCATTTCGTCTTCAACGGCAGAAAACCGAGAATCGATTAAAGATTTCAACACAGTGCCCTTCAACAATTCCTAGGAAGGAAACCTTTCCCGACACACCTCAATTATTATTCTAAGAGACCGTCCACTATTTAAGCCTTACAAAAAGGCAGGCCTTGAAAATCCTTCTGAAAAACTTCTCTTCTTCACTGCTGTATTCAAAATTATCCAGCGCGGAAAAAAAGCAGCTTGCCATTCCTGCTAGACCATGCAATCCCAAAGCAAGGGGTGCTGAAGGATCAAACGTTTTATTATGTTAAAAGGTAAAAAGTATGTAAAAAGCTTCAAGTCAAATGATTCTCTAGATTAACACAGATTCTTAACAAATTTAGGTACCAAAATAGCAAGGATAATTTCATCAGAAATAAATGGTACAAGGAATTATCGAAGTAGTAAGGAAAAACCACCAAGAGGTAAAATATATCTCTTCTTTGTCAAACATACTGTTATGTCAAAGCCCCAAAAGTTAAATATAAATTATACCATCTAAATGAATAAGACTCTTGACGTAAGTGTCCATCTCTATCTATGTTGCATTGTAAAACAAAAATTTGACGACATATCAAGGAAGATAAGCAAGGTAATGAAAGAAATTGGCCAATTACAAAGAGCGGAACCGGGTTACAAAAGTATAAGAACTTCAGAGGAAAATGAAAAACAAAGAAAAGACTTCTGTACTTACTCTAGCATGAAATAACTTTCTTTTTTGTGCAAGAGCAAAATGTTACAGTTATTTGCCGACAGCAACGATAAAACCCAGTCCCTCCAAAAAGTCACAACACGACAAAGAAAGACAAATAAAACAACAAACTGAATATAATTCAAAAACTCTGAATAAACTTTTGGAGGTTCCATAAGAACAAACTTGAAACAGAAAAAAATGAGCAAGAAAAAAACGAAAAAAAAATGAATTAAAAAAGGCACATACAATCATTCAACCCTTCAAAAAACATCACAGCTCCCAATACTGACTCCCCCAAAATAAAATATCTTTTTTTACTTTCAATAAAGCCAACGCACTTGAAAAAACAAACAAAAAAACAACAAAATCACAGAAGTAAGAACGCTTAGAGAAACTAATAAAGTTCAGAAACAACAAACTACAATTAATAAAGGCAGTAAACAATACAAAACATTACAATTTATCCTCGAAGCTTTTCCGCCCAAATAATCTTCCTTAGAATTCCTTGAATTTTATCTCAAAGTACTCTGAAAAGCAAGCAAAAAAACGACAGACAATATCAAGGAACTGCAGCTTAAATACAAAATTATGAAAGACATTCAAAAATGTTCCCCACTTGCAGGTTAAACCCCGAATGAACTGAACAAAACTATGATCCATCAATAATTAGAAGAAATTGTCTGCAAATAAAAACCCCTTTTAAAACGCCAGGTTTCTTACCGTAACTCCAACAAAACCAAACATAAAATGACACTTAAAAATGTCCCTATAGCGACAGAATATAAAGGCTTCAAAACAATCAACGTTGAAAACCCGTTTTTACTGCTTGAATAAAATATAAAATTTAAAAAATAAAAACTTAGTTCAGGCAACATTTTCAGAACAAATATACAAAAATAGTGTTATGTAATATTCAAAAAAAAATTACAATATACAACCGATAAGCCTCAAGAGCCAAAAGACCAATATAAAGGTCATTAGCTTACATGACCGAACACTGACCATTATCGTCAATGTTAACGTGGCTGACTATTTCTAGGTCAGGGCGGACACTCCTAACGTATTTTCCAACTTCGTCGTAATTTAAATTGCTGCTCTCTTCCGGAGGAGAAAACGAACTCTCCAGTATAGAACCTGCGTGCGGCCGAACAATCTTCCGTTTCTGCGAGGCGTAAGTAGTGTCCCCAGTGTCACCTTAAAAGGTATAAAGATTGATTGAAATATTATACGCAAAAGAACTATAAAGAGCTACAAGACATATAAAACAAGAAATATACGCAATAATCGAAAGCTTAAATTGCAGAACATTTCTTTGGAAAATTTAAACATGAGACTTCAAGTAGAAATACAAAAACCACATAAATTAAATTAAACTCCAGTAACTGGCTTACCACTAGAAGGGTTACTCAAAGTAACAGTGCCATTAGGTATTAAAGAAGAACTAGTTTTTGGTTTTACTGCTGAATAACCATTAGGGATCTTTTCCTTAGCAGTCTCTGCTGACTTCTTTTTTTGCAGTGAATCTTTCCTCAATTTGTCGATTTCTTTATTGGGCACAGAAACACCCGCCACAGACGCCACCATTTGCAAGTGTTTGTCAAAAGCAAATATCAGGGTTCGATACCCAAAACTAAATGACTGTAAAAGTAGAATGGCAAAAGTGAAAAAAAACTTCTTGAAGAGTACCAGTTAGCGTTAGCCCATTGCTCAAGTTGCGACACACCCTCCTTCAATTTCTCCATAATGTTTGGGCCACATTCGCGTAAGAAAGATACAGTCATTTTGTTGTAAAGGTAATTCATATCACGTAAAACGAGAGAAAGCTAAAAAAAAATTTATAGTACTTTGTCAGAGGAGAATAAAAACCAATAAAAACAGAGTTTTAAACGCAAACCATAAATGCCCATTCAGCGCAACGAGCTTGATGCATTACATCTAAAAGAAACTTCATTTCCCGTTCATTCTCCTGGGAACCCCTAGCAGCCGCTTCACCACATATACGTTCTAAACCTAAACGGCAAAAACTGACCTCTATCTTACAAATATGCATGATTGTATAAAGAAAAACAAGCTGGTAAACAGCAGCAGTTAAAGAACCAATTTACTTTGAGAAAGCCTATCGATAAAATCAAAGAAGTATTTACTCCTAAAATTGAAAAATAAAAAAATACGGGTCCCACTTGTACCCTTGTAATACCTTCCCAATCACTATCCTCGTTCGAAACAGTTGAGGCAGAGCTTGGTGACAATTGTTTCTGTCCCAAACCTGAAAAATTTTAATGAGAACATGAAGTAAAAAAAAATACGAAAATGACAGAAGAGGTAGAGTATACTCAACTTACCTTCAGAGTCTTCATGTTCGCTTGATGGTGTAAGATCTTTGGAGAGCGATGAAGTTGGAGACTGCAGTGAATCACCAGCCTCAAAAGGTTTCATTTCGTCTACGACACTTAATCGCAAATCATTTTTCGATGAAACACTGATACTTCCATAAGTTGAAGCTGAAACGGAGTCCTCTCGGTCAAATCAGTATCTCACAAAAAAAGCAAACATCACTTCTCTAGAACTACGCATTTAAAGTTTCAATTTACATTTAAAAAACACAGGGAACAGATAATTGGCTTTATCAGAAAATCTAAAGGGATCACATGGTAAGCTAGCAAGCGAGGCACAACTTTGCGAAGTCCTCATTTCCTCGATCCGTTTCGTAAGTTGCTTTACAACAGACTGACTTGCTAAAGGATATGGCCAATTAAACTGTGCATGCAGTCGCACTAAAGCTTGACCAAAATCTTTTAAAACTTCGCTAGATGAACGATAGTTAGACAACCAGGACACCAGGTCGAAGTCAAGATAAGCAGCAAATGCACCTGAAAAATTATTTTACTAGATCTATTGAAAGCGTGTCATACAACTAAATGATGTACTTTGATGTTTCCCTCTCCACACTTACCAAGATCTCTGATGCTGTAGTCTTCCAAAAGGTACACTGCATGTTTTTTGAGAATTTCTTCGAGGTAAACATGCATCGAATCAAAACTAGCGAGAGGAGGCAGAGGTGACTCAGAAGACGTAGCTTTCGACAACTTTTTTGCACTGGGACCCGTAGAGTCCTTGCGACTAATAGATCCTCCTGTTCCACACTCACTGTGTGAATGACGCGGGCGTGTTATCATTCCTATACAGATAATATATTGTCGGAAAAATTGTTTTCACAAAAAAAAAATCGCCCAAAAATTTCTGAGCTTAACAAGAAAAACTCCTCAATCAAAAAGCCGGGAAAATTCTTACAGATCGAGCATCTTCTGAAAATAAGAAAACAACTGAATTCTCACAAAAGTGTAAGTAAAGCGTCGTATCTTTACATGGTCAACCCTATAAAGTAAAAAATATTCCCCTGTCTTCGCAATCCAAAATAACTGTTTCTTACAACGGAAATGAAATAAGAAGGTTATAAAGCCACTATTCAAAATAAATGAAGAAAAATCTAATCATAAAAGAATTAAAAAGTGGTCGCTCCTGGTAACTTAAAATTATATAATACTTCAAAGATTTTAAAAAGAAATGGTTAAATCTCCGTGCCTGTTTTTCCAAAAAAGCATCAAATTGAAAGAAAAAAACTACGAGCAGAAAAAAAGGAATATGGTGGAAGCAACTAGAACAAATACCTGGTGAAAATGCTCCAAAAACAAACGAATCTGTTTCTTCAGGATCTTTCGGAGACACATGAGTTGGCAACCTTCCGCCGCTAACATTTTGAGATGGTTTGTTAAAAGTTTCTGGTCTAGGCGAGCTATCAATTTCTGTGGGTGCAATAGCACGTAGGAACCGAACAATGTCTCTAGCAATAAGCCAACGCCTTTTCTTTAGCGCTTCTTCAAGAAGATATCCGGCATGCTAGAAATTATCAACAGTTATAAAAGTTAACTGTAAAGGTTTTGAAACAGAACAATGAAAACTAATTCTACCTCCCTACTAGCGATGGCATTCTCCATATTTTGAAGGACAATAAGAAAACTAGCAGCTGTTTCAAGCTGTCCATCGTTGATGCACATTTCGAACAGCTCTCGCGGATGTTTGGTCACGTTGAATAAAGAACGCCACAAAGAAAGTTCCGTTTTCCGCGCACAGTGCGCTACTGTTTGCAAGAAATTGGGGAACTCCTGTATGAATGCAACAACTCGCGGTAACAAAGGATCTGCAAGAACTTTCAAACGAATATATTTTGACTCAAATAAACAAAAAATGGGAATTCGTTGACTAAAAATAAATGGATGACTCAATGCACATATAAGAGTGAGAGTAGGAAGATCAAATATCTTAATTCCATTGACCTGGTATAGGTTCCGAAGAAGTTGCCTCCTCCTCAAGAACGCTATGTAGGAGTAATTCTAGAACATGACCAAAATAGGGCAAATGAATGCAGGTACCAGCGATTTCAAGTGCATAGACTCCAAGGTTGCGTTTTAACAACTGTCGAAGAAGATGATGGAGAAAAACCTACAAAAATTACAAGTTATTAATCATAAAGCAAAGAAGTTGCCTGAGAAGAATTATAAGAACTATTATTAAAAAAGCTCCACTAACCTGTTAGTCTCTTCGAAAATGTTTAGCAATAATGTAATTAAACCAAAGCAAAAACAGTAATACTGTAAGAAAGAAAAGTCATGCCTCACTATTCCTGTGTACACTGTAAAGTGAAAAAGCTGCACTGCAGTTATTTGAAGACTTCGAACTAAGAAAGGATGGAGAGCTCTCGGCTCCCAGTGCTAGGCAATCTCGACTACAAATTACTGAAATCAACCAGTGAGAAAAGAATTCAGAAAAAGCCCAATGAAATCCTCAAGAAAAGAAAGCAAAAGTTGGTTTAAACAATCGAGATAGAAATTTGGAACACGAAGAACGACGAAAAAGGGATGAAAACTTAAGGAAAATAGCATCAAAAGACGCTAATGTTGTAATTAACATAAGTCGTAAAAAACAAGTTTTCGTAAACAGATATAAAAAACAAATATCTTAAGACTTGCCGAGTGGGTAAATATCAAGATCAAAAGGAAGCATTATACGCTTGCTAATAAAAGATCTACTTGACTCCGCCGTTCCACTGCTATTCCGCCTCTGAGCACTCAGGAATAAAGGCATCCAAACCTGAAACGAAAAGCTGGGAACATAGCATTGTTTAAAAAAAAAACCTGAAAAACTAATAAAGAGATGCGCTAGAAAACCAGAATAACTGTAAGGTTATTTTACAAAACCTTGCTATATAAAGTAACAAACTGATAAAACAAACTTTCATTCCTTTCGCGCCACAGTTTAGCCATAATGCTTGAGCAAGATGAGGTTTCGTAAATGTTAAAGATTCTTGGTTTTCTGCGACATCATGCCACATATGCTCGACGTAAGAGGCAACCAGCATCGGTTGGCTGAGCTAAAAAAAACCGTATCTCCAAGACTGGTAATCATGAAAAATTGAACCACAAGCTACAGAATAATTTCACCTGAAAACGATCTTCATCCTCATCCGAAGACGAATTACCAGAGACTGACTCACTTTTTACTGGATTCAGCATTATAAGTTTTCCAGAAACGTTGATAAGCACAGTGTCGATATTAGAGCAGAATTTAACAGTGGCTTTAAATAAATAACTTTTTAGATAAAGAAAGCCAACGGAGAACTATTAAATGAGTAAAAGCTCACAGGAATCGTGACCAAGAGATGTTAGCTGTACAGAAATAACACAAACTGAATGCGGAACAAGATCAGAAACTCGTATTTCGGCACACCTAAATAAAAAGCATAAATGAAAGCACAATTCTTTTGAAAAATGGAGTAAATAATAACTAAATAAATGGTAGAAAAAAACTGTGAGTAATAACGCAGATGCCTTTCGACAAGAACTGATCTGGCTCCTTTGCTTCTCTCCTTCACAGATAAACCATAAATAAAAATTCTTTCGTCCATATCAAAAGTGACTATTTTATCTTCGCTGTAAACCAAATTTATATTAGTGCGTCCTATGTAGTCTAAAAAACAAGATAAAATTTCAAAAGCAAGTACTGAAAAATACAAATCAATATAACCGTCTGCTAAGCATTAAAACTCGTGAATCCGTTGGGTGCCTTGAGCAGTACTGATTATCTAACTGACATGCGAAAGGATAAAATCTCAGTTCCTCCTTATCCCGTTTAATGTCGTAGCAAGAAACTACTGCAAATCCGTTCCAAATAGCAAGTCCTCCTGTTACTAACATGTCTTTCTCCTAAATTAAATTGTACTAGAAGCGAAAATAAGCCTTAAAAAGTGCTTAAAACAAGTGAAATATTGTGAAATAAAAGAATAATGCTGTAAAAGAGCTAAAAAATTTATACACTGACGACAAAAAATAGTGTCACACTAGTTTGAGAAAAAACGTTTGAAAGTTTCTTCACACCTGAACATGTGAAATAAAATTGAATTGTACAAATATTAGCTAACAGCTAAACCCGAAAAGCGACAGCGAAAAGTCAATTTGAAAAAAAAAAAAGCTTCTTCCAGTAAGAAAATCTATTTTCCAGTTCTCCTGAGTCTACCCAGAAAGTTCTTGACACCACCCCAATGAAAGTTTCCTTTGGCTTTAAAAAGAGTTATATTCAGTACAGATGTAGTGCAAACTGGAACTATATCTCAGAAAAAAAACATGTGAGACTTGAACATTACAAAGCTAAAGGTTTTTTAAACAAAACTTAGGAAATATAACCGATTTAAACTCCTGATGACGTTAACAACTTTACGCTGGCTTTAAAAAGTCTGTTTTACCGTCACTAAAACCTGATCAGAAAAAATGAAATCATGGTCATGCCATATAGAGATAAAAATAAAAACTACCTCTATTTTGACTACCCTAACAACATCAAAAGATTCGTACAAAATAAGAAAAAACTCCAAAATTGAGTGGAGTATATCAAAAGAGACACAATCAACAAAGAAATCACCTGGCTCTCATTTCCAAATAACCTCCACCTTTCCGTCACCATATTGCAGTGCGTGAAACCTCTAGTACCAGCAACTATAAGCCACTGATTGCTTTCACGATCAATTGCCACTATCTAAAACGCACTTTTTTAGAGAATAAATTCCAGAAATTAATATCACCTTGACACCCATACAAAACCACAAAAAAAACGTAAACAATCGTTTTTAAAATCAATACTGTGTCAATAATAAATGTTCTTAACGATACCCGTAAAGGCCAATTCGACGACAGGTAATCGTTTGGAACGGTGAAAGTTCTCCAGACACTATGTGGAGCACTTGCCGACTGCTCTTTATCTTTCTCTGGACTCAAGTAAATCCTATTGGACGAAACAAATACAATTCTATCATAGTGTTCCTTAAAAAATGATAATTCAAATTGTACATCACCGCTTTAGCAAATTTCTCATAATACAACGAAAAGCATCACATTCACATCCGAAATTTCAAATACTGAGATTATTAAACAATATTTCGATTTCAATAAATTAAATAAATAATAATATAAAAACAATGCCAAGAAAAAGGAAGATATGATATCCAACCCAGCACATAAATGCATTAATAATTTCTAACACCGTACAAGTCTTTGGTTCTACTTCTGCAATATCCCATGTTCTTTTACATGATACTGTATAAAAAGCCTGACCATGTTTGGATTAGACACAGCAATTGATCGAGATATTGGTAAAACAGAAAGTCCGCGATCCGATCCTAACCACAAGCTGAATCCTTCTGGTCCCCAATCCACCCAATTGTAAACAGTCTGCACGCTGACTTCTCTGAATCAGAAACTTCAGAATAGATATTTATCAGATCATCACCTTAAATGCCTTATAATAAGGTAATACCAAAAAGCTTGATCCTAAAGAAAATCTGTCACAAGACTACCGGTCAGTAGATGACTCAAGCGAACACCACAACTGAGCACCGAACGAGGTAAAAATAGCGAGGATAGGTGCAAGTGGGCGGGGATTTCCCGCATTATTAGTTTCGGCTAATGACCACACAGCAGCATAAGCAGAACCATGCGGTGAACATTCTATATGACTCACCAGACCCAAACGACTGATTAACTCTAAAATACAAAAATAACTTCTACCGAACCAAACTGGATATGGTAATCAAGCAAAAAAACTCAAACCTGAGCCATCCTTTACACGTAATGAAATCCTATATGCACAGACGAGTGCTCCATTTACATCGTCAAGATGATATGCAGCAATTTCACCACTGAAACATCAGAGATAATTACTTAATGCGCGTGTAGCAAATAGAGTTTAAAAAAATGTTGTTCATTTTTCAAAATCAACATCCCTACCTTTGAAATCCTTCGCAAAAACTCTAAGTTCATTTCTGTGACTTTTAACGCTTTGAAAAGTGGACAACGTGAGGTAATTCCAACAGAAAGAAATCTCGCAAAACAGAGGTAAGCTAACAAGCGATTGAAATAAAAATCCTTATTATGGAAGTACAGCTATGGCTAATTTCAGCTGACCAATAAGACCCTTCAAAATTGCAAACTTGCGCTCCCTTATGCCAAATCGAAAATAATGTTCACGACCCACTAATACATAAAAATTTAAAAAACTGAAAAAAAGAAGAAAATGTGCCGTCAAGTAGACAGAACAGTGAGCTTTAAGCGTTCAAGACAGCACGTCACTAAATGCAATAAAAGTTGCGCAACAAAATATTAAAAACTCTAGCAAGCCACTGCCGCTTATTCATTAATCTCATTGAAACTTTCACCAGTAGACTATAGCCTTCATGTAGCAAATATAATGAAACAAACACTACCTTTGTTGTAAATATATATTAAGACCTGGACTTTCAAAGCATTTCTTACACTTAAAAATGCCAATCCATATTCCTTGCAGTTTACAAGTGTCTCAAATGCATGTAGAACTTATAAAACAGTAAGGAAAAAAAGATGTGCCCACAAGAACATATAACTACTATCCCAAAAACGTGCAAACTGGTTTACATTTTTTTACTTCACATCTTCCATCTTCCAGAAATTTTCTTCCTCATTTAGCAAAATTAATTAAAGTTTCTTTTCCTCACTTCCAGCGAATTCCAAACACGGAACTGATTTCTAACTAAAACGACAAAGGTGCTTGTAGTACTGGTAAGTTCTTCACCCAGACAATTAAAACCTACAGGATTTACAAAAAAAAAAGGCATGAACAACTGCTCCAGAGCTTTAAAATAATTTCTCCTGCTGTTTAAAAACTGATTCATAAAATATTGTAACTAAAAAACTTAAACTCAAAAACTATACAATAATATGCTGAAAAAAACCTTATACTCGAAATACACCACAGCAACCAAGAAATCGCTAACGTTTTGCAAAAAAAAGTAAGCTCACAACATGATTCTTAGAAAAGAGAACTCAAAGATTAATGCCATAATCCAAACAAGCAAACCAAAATTCTAGGATAAATGAGAAACATTTAGAGATGACTCCACAAAAATTGATGTAGTAAGTTCAAGGAAGACGAGGTAAACTCAATTCTACCTTACCACCCCATCTGTTTGAGAGACCTCTCAAAGTTTCAATGAAAAAAAAACTTTAAGAAGCTGGCCAGAGCAGAACAAGCACACAATCCAACCGCTCAAAAAACTGTTAATTTAGATCTCTAATCCCCCTTAGATCAAGAACACCTCAAAGCATAAAAAGACTGAAACCATTTTAAATGCAGTTAATAAAAAAAAAAACTGAACCATAAAAAAAAAATATCGAAGTATTCAGGACAAACCTACGACAGCCAAAAATAATGGTTCTAAACTTGTGGTTAGCCGCGGTACACACTGCGTCTTTTAACTGGGTAGCCCAAACACCCAATATTTGCTGAAATAATCAAGTAAAAATAACTTTCAGTTTTATGAACTGCCACCAGTAACAAAAAGTATTGAAGCAGAGAATTCAGTTCATTAAAGGCAAAAACAAGTTATGTTAGAATGCTAGGAAGATTCCTTAGGCAAAAAAAAAGAAAACTACGAAAATAAATATGATCAGTTTCAAAATGACGAGGAAACTGACTTCAAAATATTATTAACAAGAACTAGTTCAAAAATAAGAGAAAAAAATATCATTAGGGATCAATAAATAATGAATAGAAACCTGTGGATGAAAACGTGAGCTTGGAGATGTTAGTAAGGCAGCTCGCCCATCGGACAAAACAGAGCAAAAGCCACCGACCAAAGGCGCATAAACTATGTCGACCACAAATACTGAACGGTCAGCTATATACTCCGCTGCAAATAACATAAAATCTATGACTGGAATAAAACTTAACACTTGAAACAAGACTGGCATTCATAAATTCAAGTTAAAAAAAACGAGCCCTTATAAAAAATTAAGTAACATGAATTGTTAAAAAAAATTAACGTTTCCATAAACAAAAACTATGCCTTTAGACTGCAGCTGGTCCGAAGCAAAAGCAACTTCTGACAAGAAAAATGAATTTTCATCATCCGTATTCCCATCCCAACGGATACGGTGAAGCCATCCGTTCTGGAGGCAGATGAATATTTCTTCCCTCAGAGCGACCACACTAAATTAAAAAACAAAAAAAAAATCGAGTAGCTAAGGAAATTTAGAGAATTAACACCTACCACAAATTTAAGGTTAAAACATGTTACCATGTTGCCACGCTGTTAAGTCTCGCAACAACAGCCAAAGCAATCTGAATTTTTGGACGTTTGGCTTTAATAAACAGTTCCTGTGACGTTCTGCGTAGTTCTTCATCTTTTGGTTCTATTAGGTTGTAGCACTGCTTTTCAGACGGTTCAATCCGATAAATTAGCAAATAATTTTTTGACGTCTGGAATTTCGTAAGACTGCCTTTTAAAAATTCATTTAAATACATATATTTTACATTACAATCGAATTGAAAAATATTTTTTAAGCTCAAAATCCATGATATTCTTCAAGATATTACCTCTGACGTAATAAACATCAGGTAACGCTAAAAAACAGTCACTTACTGTCACACATAGAGCAGAAGAATCTTGTCGCCAATATAGAAAGCGGTACTCGCCTTTCTCCTCTACATCTGTCACTGAACGCCGAAAAACACAAGCAAGGAGCTGCGTCTACAAATCACCAAATAACCAAAAAAATATCTAAAAGTGTTGGTGGAGGAGACTATGAGCCTTGCTAAGAAAAAATAAAACGCTCTGATCAGCTACAGTAAAGAATTAAAAAATAAGAATAACTTCCAGTGATATGAGCGAGAGCAAAATGAAAAAGTTAGTGCCTCAAAAGAAATCGGTTCTTTCAAAATTAGTTTAGATAAATAACTTTCAAAGCCAATCTTTAGACTCACATCCGACAGGAAGATGTATATGGAGGAAGAAGTAATAGCTGCAAAAAGTGTGTGATCTCTGTTCCCAACTACACAAAATACCGAAGTTGTTTCATCAGAACTACAACCAGGAAGAAGAAGCGAATGCTCACTGCCGTCCTTAAATGGTGAAACAAATGAATTAAATAATGGAGATTTTGTTCTGAATCCACTAACAATAATATTGTAAATAAAAAGTTTGGAAGCCAAAGATATGTACTTATTCAGCTTAGCTATGCGAATGTGATACATCCTCGCTTATGAAGCACTGGCACGGAGAACAGTGCCAATTGGAAACAAGCCATCATTATTTGTTAAAATTTTGTATAGGGTTTAAAACCTGAACAAAAAGCCAAAGTACCAATGTTCAAAAATAAAAGGGCTAGGCAATATGGGAACTTCGATGTTAAAGTCAAAATAAAAAAAAAAATGGCTTCTAATCTACCCTAAACTTTCCATTACTCCGGTCGGTAGTATTCATAAACCTGGTTAATTTTTTCATTTTATAAAAGTCCTTGCATAAGAACGAACCATAAATATTAATTGTCCTTTGCCACTCTTTTTTCTAATAGTCAAAAAGTAGAGAACTCCCCTTAACTTTCCCTAAGAAAGGTGTTGATAGTAAAATAATGAGTTACCCTATCTTACACTCGAAAATACCAAACTCTGAATAAAATAAAAGCTGGGGATGTTAAGTAAAAAACTGGGTACCGTGTTAATTCCTTCTCGTGGTGAAAGAAGTAACAGAAAAGAAACACTGGTAAAACCACTTATGAAATTTATGAGTTTAAAACGCTGAAAAGAACGTTAAAGTCTATCATTTGTGCAGCAATCGAGTAGTGAATTTAAAAAAAAAGACTACCAGGTTTAATAAAGCACTTGAAAAACTGTAATCTTTTCTATAAAGCTAATCCGTCTTATAAGCAGCACTAAACTGAACAAGTACAAAACAGCATGCTAGATGTCCAATTGTAAGAACAACTTACTGGGAGGTACATGATGAAGGAAAAATAACGAACTCCAGACAGCTAAGATAAAAACATTATACAGACATATCGAAGAGACCCGGTCGGACAGATCTTTAAAATTTCCTTGCTTTAGCGCTATATAGCAAACACCGATCAATGAAAACTAGAAACTGACGAACCCATCTGTTGCAATGAAGCCAAATAAGATAAAAACAAATATAACATTGCAAATTTATGCAGCTAGTTAACAATATCAACGAATACAAAAATTTGGAGAGCAATACCAACCTACATAAATATTTAAAGAGGAAATTGAACAAAATAAAAAAAAGGGGAAATAACTGCAGAAAAAAAAAAAAAAAAAAAAAAAAAAAAAAAAA